AACCGGATTCGTTGGCGTGTCCCGATTGGCGCGGGGCCAATCGGCCGCCGGATTTACGGATCCGATCGCGATCTACTTCGACTATCTTGATTGCATCGCTGGGAGTTGGCCGGTGGCAATCCTGGCAATTTTGGCAATTTGGACGTCCGCGAGCCAGAAAGTGGCAGGACGAGAGGCGATTGCTGCGGCCGGATGGGATCCAGGCCGGAAATGCGACGTTTTTGCACGCAAAAAAAAAAATTCCCGTGCAGAAATGCAAAAAATGCGGCGTGATTGCAAAAAAAAATTGCAGAAAAGAAATTGTTTCTCGAATGACGACTCGAAGCAAACGCCCTAATTGCGCGCTGCAGCAAACGCCCTAATTGCCCACTGTAGCGCTGCAGCAAAAGCCCTAATTACGTCCCGTTTTGTCTCCCCGTCATCAGCGACTCTTTTTTCCGTGCCAATCCGTCACAATCGAATGCTCCGCAAAAATGACAGATGGCAAAAAAAAATCGCTAAATTCGACCGATGTCCTTTAAACGCCCTTAAAACGTCGCCATTTCGGAGCCCGGAGGCCGCCGACTCATCAGCTCTCAGCTGATGATTTTTCATCAGCTGAGAGCTCATGACTCTTCGTCTCTCTCTAGACCTTATCTAGACTCGCTCTAGACCTTTTCTAGACAAAAAATTTTAACTCAAGTTGCAAAAATTTTCCAGCGAATGTGCGATTTGGCGACTCGAAGTCGGCAGTCGCGAACTGTGCGGGAAAGATCGCGAATGTTCGCGAATATCCGAGACGGCCAGGGACAAGCGGGCCGGCCCCTCCGCACACGATCCGGCCTATTCATATGTTTGTTCTTTCTTCAGTGCCTTCAACACCCGGGTTGTTTAGCCTTTGAGGGGAATGGGGAATCTGCTTCATCATTCTCTCTCTCTCTCTCCTCACTTTTCTCTCTCTCTCTCTCTCTCTTCTCACACACTGGCTCATCGATGTATTGAGGGGGGAGGAAATGGAATGCCAATTACGCCGTTCGCGAGAATCTCGCGGAAACGGATCGGCGAAACGATTTTCGGCGTCGGAAGTCGCGTGACTTCTTCGCGATGTCGACATTCGGTCGCTAAATGTCGGCTTTCTGTGACTTAAAAAGGGCTCCGAAGTGGACGAATTGGATTCGCTTAAAGTCAGGTTTAACTTAACCTACGAGGCTTAACTTAATCTTAACGATGGCATGCTCGCGACGCGAAAAAAAGGGACTCCAAAGACACGAACCGTGTGACAGGCGTACCGGAGAAGTACCGAGGAGACACGAGAGGGTGAGTGGACAGGGTGCGACTGGCGCCATGGCTCTCGCTGTGCTCGGGGATGGGGCAGGGCCGATGGGTGCTACATCTAGTGGAGGGGAGGGGAAGCGCGGAGTCAACGGAGTGCGACCGGGTCCAATGGCCACAACAGATGGGGACGGGCAGCGTCAGTTGGCACATCGCACGAGAGACGGACGCTGAGATAGAGACTAATTGCGCTCGAATCTCTTCTTTCCTTTCTAATTGCGTATTATGGCTTCCGCATTGTGTGTCCCCGTGGACCTTTTGTCGCGGGGCGGTGACTCGTGAAAGATTGAGCGGTTTTTTGTGGACCGGCTCATCCTTTAGCAGACATGATCTCATCCATCCTTCCCCTGTTTTCTTTTCTCCGACGCGTAATGGAAAGGTCAGGGCGTTGGCCTTTCGAAAGTCGACGCGGTGGTCTTTGTGTCGTTCGGTCGACGCAGTGACTCGCAGGTCGGTCTCAAAAATGTTCGAGTTTTATTTCAGAGGTGTGAAGGTCCAAAAAAAAACTTCTGGGTGTTAAAAGAGTATTATAGCAATCACATTTTCGTGAAATAATGAGAAAATAATTTGAAACACATGGGGAAAACTGCAACTACTTGGGACGAGAAAAGATACAAATGCAAGTTAATACTCTTCTCAAATAAATGACAATGATGGCAATAAAGCTATCAAAACTAGTTACAGTACATATGTGCATAGATAGGAGATCCTTGAACTTGGAAATAAAGGCTGTCACTTCTCTTGACCTCTTCCTATGGGAAACAAAGAAAGGTGTCCTTCATATCTCAATTATCAGAAGTGACAATGGAAGTTAGTAAAATGGGAACCGACTCAGGATCCTCTTTTTGACAGTCGATGAGGAGATGCTTGAACTTGTACTGGAAGTACTGGTACTGGAGTTGCTGGAGCGGAGGGTTCTGCCTGGAGTTTGGGTGTTCTGGGTCGCAAGGGGCCGCGTCTTCTTGGCCGTGAGGGGCCGGGTCTTCTTCGTCGAAAGGGGCTGAGTCTTCTTGGTGGAAGGAGGCTGAAAGTCTTCGGCGTCGCTTCCGCTCTGAATCTCCTCCTCGTTCTTTTTCCCTCCTCTTTTCCTTTCCCTGGGATTTTTTCTCACCACTGGTACTTCATCACTCTTGGTTACCTCATCTTCCTCTTCACTCTCCTCTTCCTCATCCTCTGATGATGATGAAGGCAACTGTCTCCTCGTTCGTTGTTTTGTTGGCGACCGAGGTGTTTTTGGAGTATTCCCTATGGTGGCAGAAAAGAAAAATATGTTCATGCCCATCATATCTACTTCTCCACGAGAAGAAATAATAATTACATACTGTTGCTTTGCCGTCTGACAGCATCGCGGGCTCTCTTAGAGGCTGTCACGTCATCGAGTCCTTTCTCGTGGAACTCCTTGATTTGTGCTTCAAATTCCTCCATAACCCGCTAAAAAGGAAGCAGATGGTTAAAAACCACACAAAATCCAAGTAGACAAATAATGGAAGACAAGAGGAGGACCTTCATGTCAGGCTTGATGAACTTCTTGCACCCCGTGAGAATCTTGACAAAGTGCTCGTAGACCTTGGGCTCAGACAGGGCCTTGGCATAGCAAGGGAGATTTTCCTGCAGCTTCTTGAGACTCTTTTCACCGTAATTCAGAAGGGAGAGGCAGTATGCCATGTCTCGCCACTGCCGCTCCGTCGTGGCAGCCGGGAACCGGTTCACCAGCTTCTCCACCAATCCATCCATCTGCTTCTCCTTCTGGGTCACCGTGATGATGAAGCTGACAAGAGATTTATCAGAATTTCATAAAGCCTTTCCCCAGAAAAGGTCATAGGCTGTTAGAAAGAAACTGCTGAGCCTCACTTGAGAATGTTTTGGAAGTGCTCTTCACTGGTACCAACTTCAGCATCTGACAAGCGGGAGATGATGTCAGGCAATACATTGTACACAGAGTTGCCTTTCCCAGCCAGTTCAACAAAAAACAGTCTAGCTGCATCTGTCCAGATTAAAAAATTTCAAACAATTAAAAATTGAAAAAATGTCTAAAAATGAAGGTTAGGTGATCAAGATTACTACTTACTGGAAACACCAGGATCAGGGTCCATGATACAGAGGGCAACATCTGAAATTTGACCTCTAACTTTTATCATGTCACTGAGCACCAGTTCATTCAAGACTCTCAAAGTCTGCTTCTTGACTAGGTTAGATGTGTCATGTAGTCTTCAAATAAAAATTACAATCAATGATTCAAATGTAAATTCAGGAGGAAGAAACAAAAGCAAGGATATAAAGATATACCTGCGATAGATGTATGGTGTCCATGGTGCCAATACATTTGGATATTGAATCATGAGATCTCGGCAATACAAGACTGAATTCCCACGAATCTCTTCAATATCACTTTTCTCCAGTATTGTGAAGAACAACTTAATAAAAATGAAAGGCACATGTTGAACTCACATCAAAACAAATTCACCTCACAAGGGATGCAACTTATGGGCAGTACTTATACCTGGATGTGGTCCTCACAGAATCGCGAGGAAGTGAGCATGAACTTGCCCAAGGCATCACAGGCAGCTGTCTTCAGTCGTTTATCTGTGTACTGGGAGAGCTTGGAGCAGATTTCAACCACCAGTCCCCTAACAGACAACATTCCAACTTTGAAAAACTTATATGCAATTAGTGCTTTCAGAGGGGTTGGAGGTGTATGTACCTGAAGTGACCCAGGTAACCACTGTATAAAAGACCTTCACATTCCTCTTTCACTGATTCAAAATTAGAATCATGTGCTGTTGCACCCAGCATCCCCAGCTCTTGGTCTCCATCTAGCATTGACTAGAAACAAAGAAAAACCCATTTTGGTTTCATAACTGAAGAAATATTCTCAATATTGAAGATCAGGAAGGAGAGCACAACCACCATACAAATCTTATTCAGTCACAAACTGAAGGGAACTAGAGATATGGATTAGTACCGCTGAGGAGACGTTGGCTGGGTTAGAAACCCGCGACGCCCTGGAGGCTCGAGAGGTAATTCTCTTGGTTCGGTCCTTGCCTGTCTCCTCTCGGGCAGCATCACGTCTCTTCAGTTCTTGGAAGACATCATTCATGAGAAACATTTTTTGCTTGAGAGCAACATGGCCCACCATGCTTAAGAGTCGAGCAAGTGGAAGCGAACAGAGCTTCTCCTCTTTTGAAAAGACCTTCAATTGGCAGCCCTTTAGGATCACAGAGCTGTTTTGGTGTGGCAGGTCAGATAGCTATAAGAAAAAATGCATACAAAGGCAGGTAAAATGTATCAACAATGTTGGATGATATTCACAATAATAATATAAAATTAATGGGGTATATACTAATATATGGCAAATTACACAGAATACACCAGACTTACAAAGAATTACAGCTCCCAGGAAGTTTCAAACAAAAGACATGCCAAACATACAATATAAGTAGGAAAGAGGAATTGAAATATGAATGACATGACACAAAAACCCACAGATGGATGCTCACATCCAATGGTGGATTGCCTGATAGTGTTCACCCCTCATTTGTCAGGAGAGACTTCCAAGTTCCTACGCTGATGGCATAGGAACTTGAAAAAAGTCAGGCTTTCCTCACAAATAAATTCTATCTACACCAAGGGATTCTCTTCTAGTTCAAAATTCTACCAATACTCAATGTCCACAATACAATTTTTTTATCACAAACCTCTAGCACACCATCAGGAAAACTAGATCCTGTTTAACCAACCTCTAGAGATCACTCCCACCATATGCACTCCAGATAACACTACCTCAATAAGATGGATGAGCAACTCATTAGCATTGACTAATCAATGTCTCTTTTCTACTAAAACCATCTCATTTTACCATCATTCCTTCAAAACCAACATAACCTCCTCAGTTCTGCTTTTGCTACCCCACTCTTCACTCCCTTGCCATCCATCTTATTCTCTTCTCTTATCATTAATAATACTATACAAGCAGACCCACATGGAGCACTGGAGATGTACTAGTGACCAGCCTCACATAGAGTTGTCTTGAATTAATCATTAATCTTTGCCATGTAGTGAAATCTCAAAATCATGAAATACAAGCTTATATAAAGACTCTTTAGACTCTTTAGGTTCCCATCCAACATCATATCTTTAATTAAGTCTCATAACTTCACTTGCCATGAAAAAGGAACTTTCCGAGTTAATTTGGATTTATCACTCTAAATTCTACACTTTTGAGAGAGCAGTACTTTAAAGCATAACATATTTGGATATATATTAAAACTCTTACTCAAGATAAACTGAGTTATAAGAACTCTCATTGAAGCTCCAAGTGAAATTAGATCAAAATTAAAGTGTAACAGATCTTTTGCAAGCCATAAATGCTGAACTGCCTGAAATGCTCTTTAAATAAAGTGCACCAAAAATGCATTGAGAACTACAGAGTTTTAGTATAGATCTTGTAAAGAACAAGTATATGTGAAGTAAACATGAAGTACTTAAATGTGGAGCAAGAAATGGCAAAAATGGTAAGTAATGCCCCTTACTTTGTAAATAACATTGATGGCCTCCAAGGCCATGGGAGTGTAATGAACATCCTTCTCATTGAGAAACTCATCAACCAGGAGATCTTGCAAAAGCTGAAAGAGCTTGTGATCAGGGGGCATGCGGGGTGAGAGCTCTTCTCCGTCCTTTGAGACGGTCCTTCCACTGTAGCGCACTTGAAGCTTCAAAAGGGCCTTGCAGGTGAGCCAAGGAAGCAGATGGTTCTCCTTTGCTCCTGGTCCCAGTCCCACATCCATAAGCACTTGCAAGTTTGTAGCTATGATGCCTGGATTTGCACTGCAGGAATGAATGAAATGAGACATGCAGATAATACAAAAATATGCTAACACCAAGACAGAATTCATGCAGATGAATCAGGCATTGCTGAATTTAGTTGAAATCTGTCTTCAGGTCACACCTGCCAGCCATGGCAAGAAGCTGTAGAGCTGTCCTTGACTCCTGCTCTGTTATTCCAGGTTGTGCTCTGGTGAATCGTTCCCAAAGAATCTGATGAAAGTATCAATTGCAATTGAAATCATCATTGATGGCAATGCAATTAAATGCATAAGACCAGAAAAAATCAATCCACCTGGAGCATCTGCTTGTTAATGTCTCCAGCTCGAACCAGTTCCACAATGAGGTTCTCTAGGGACACCAATTCACCCAGGTTAGCTGAAGATGCCAACTTGATCAAGTGTGACACAACCTTCCCTGCGTTGGACCTTTAAGAAAAAAAACAGGCAACCTAGAGAAATAAAATGAAATGGAATACCAGAGGAGTATGAGAACTGAGCAGCCTGAGTCCCAGACAATCTCCAGAAAGCACTTGCAAGAGTTTCATTATATCTGATGAGACTATGGAAGGCTAGGATTTATGGATGCAAGTTTGAGGTTCCAACAGCGAAATAAACAATTCAGGCCAAAGATATGGGAAAAAATTAACTTCATGTGATACCTTGCACTTTTTCCCTCCTTCTCCTCGAAATACAGGGTGCGATAAGCCTTGAGAACAGCCTCTTGGATGGACTTCTCCTTCGACCAGACAAGATTCAGCATCCGACGCACACCAGTGATGGCCTGCTCAAACTGGAACTGCATAGCAACCACAAAGAAATCAATGGTCTCAAAGACATCAGATGTCTGTTCTGAAGAAAGGAGATCGCAAAGGGCAGGAATGGCCTGGTTGATGCGAAGGGCAAATTCCAGTGAGTCCTGAAAACAAAAATGCAATGTCAAAGATGGATTTCAAGGGAAAGTGAACATAAGAACCCGATGCAGTGGAAATGCAAGAAAAGACCTTAAGATAATGGACAGCTTGTCTCTGATGCTGCAGATCTTCAGGGATGCTTTGTTCATCTTCATCTTCATCTTCCTCATGTTCGTCTTCTTCTGCATCTTCTGAACTTGAATCTATGTGTTGATTGCTCTTCTGCCCATTAAAGAAGATTTTCTGAAGGAGACCAGATGTGAACAAGGCCTCTTCGTTGTTTTCACGGGCTTCATTGATGCCCAGGTCATTCAACCTACATTATAGATGCATTTGTTCCTAAGTTGAATGAAACAAAGCTTTAAAAAAAGAAAAGAATCTTACTTTAGTTCTGGCACATCAGGAAAACTCTCAAGTGCAAGTTTCAGACTATAAAGTGCCTTATCATAAGCTTTCTGCATTAGGGCATCATAAATTTCCTCCAGCACTTCATGGATGCTCAGGATCTCCTTCCTGTTACCCTCAACAGGAAAATTCTCCTTATTCCCTTCTTCTAGGTGCTCCTTAGCAGCCTCCAAGACATGAGGGAACATTTCCAGCCAGAGCTGGGCAGGATCTGATAAGGCATCAGACCTTGCCTTCTCCTTTGATACATATTCCTCTTCCATTGCCTGCAACTTCTTTGTTTCCTCAGCCAACTGCTTTTGCACATCATCTATGGGTAACTGAGATCAAAACATTCCCAATGAAAAGAATGAAAAGTCAATGGTAAATGCGAGGAGTTGAAGGGACGAACTGCAGCAGCATAGGGATTGCCTTGAAGTAGGGCCATGATGAGTTGAATTGCATTTTTCCTCACTGTGGCTGCCTTGTCACTGACCCGCCGGATGGCCTTGTTTAATACTGTTGGCTGGTACTTGAGGGGGATTGCCCCAGCAGCACTTAATTTCCCCCATACCTGCATTACCTACAGTGATAAAAGTAAAGTGGCAATATGAAAGAGGAAAAAAAATATAATATGATAAACAATAAATATGATTCATACCGGTAAATGAAAAAAAAATTTGTTCATAAAAAATTTCCCAGTTAAATCATAGTTCCCCCACTCCTAACAAATTCCAAATTCTCAAGTTCACACATAACACGACCTTCAACTCATATTAGGTAGAACAAAGACCTAGATCTTCCATAACTGTGCTTGACTAAATTCCCACTTTGTCTTCTAAGACAATTTCATTTAAATGCTGTGGTAGAATAAAGATATAAATAACTTTCAGTCAAGGAAAACACTTATGCCAGCAAGAATCAGCATTGCCATATTGTTTCTGAATTGATTCACTTCTTATTTTCATGTAGGTTACAAAATTAAGTGCTTTTGATTCCTTAGCTGTAGGCTAAAGCAGCACCTGGAACGATTGCAAAAGAAACTAAGTAAGAACAATTGTCTGGAGAGGAAACAAATGCGAGCAAAATTGCTAAATCCAGGAAGATTCCTTCAAGCATGCAGACAAGAGACCTTGAACAGAAGTTGGCATGAATTGCAGATAACCACTTGTAAAGAACTTTTCATGCAAAATTTTTTTTTTCTCTACTGATTGTGCTGGTCATGGAATCAGGGTGACCTTCAAAAATGGGCAACCAGAAAACTAACCATCCTGTTTGCATAATTCCCCCCCAAAAATCTGACTACTGAAACAGGTTAGGTAATTTATAGCTGCTCTGGAACACAAAACTTGCCTTAGCTCGGACAAAGGCATTGACATCGCACATGTGATCAAGTAAGTACTCCAAGAATTCATCACGGAGCTTTCGCTCCTTCTTCTCCAGGCCCTCTGCACAGAGGACTCTTCCAACAATCTCACCCATCACTTCCAGTACTGCACTTCGTACTGTGTAGGGCTATATAAAAATAAACATCAAATGATCAACATGTAACACAAGTTTGGAATATAGCTAAGGATAGATGATACTTTTAGGGCAGAATAAAATACCTCGCATTCAAGCAGGGGAACAAGAAATGTCATGGATGGGATGAGCAGGTCGGGAGAAATATTTGCAACCTCTGTGATGAACTGAGCATAGTGTTTTGTCGTAGATGTGTCACGGGCCAATATGCCCACATCCATACGGCCTATTTCACGAACCAATTCCCCAAGAATCATTTTCCCCTCTAGATCTTGGCTGACATGAACCAGTCCTTGTGCCAGGGGGATGACAGATGACTCAAAATACTGAAGCATCTGCAACCCAGAAGAATGGATAAATTAAAAAGAAGTTAGAGATAATAAAAAGCCTACCAATTGGGGAACCAGTTTTCATATATATCCGAACCTGCAGGATCTTAGAGCAGCAATTCTGTCCATGTTTGTAGTTCTTCACCAGTAATTGAAGCACCTGGAAGACCGAATCCCGGGTAGCTTTTGCCTTTGCCAGACCAATAGATGGGTGCTCAAGGAACCGGTAGCATCCATCAGCCATCAAACTGCAGACAACCACAATCAATCAGATAACTGACATTTGCAGAATATAACTAATTTGAATATTCCAGAGAATGCAGTAATAAAAAAAAGGATCCATACTTGGGCTGCATTTATCTTTAGCTCCCACTGTTCCTTTTATCAAATAACATGTTGAGCATGGGCTCATTAACTTGCCAGCAGACTTATGGCATTTCATTCAAAGTTATTTCACCAGAGCACAGCCATGACTAACAACTAAAGAAATAAAAATCAAGGCCTGTGTTTCAAATTGGGTGAAGGATGCACCTCGGCACAGTGAGTCTAACATCTCTTTTACTCAGACATAATCATTTTGGTCTTTTCTTTAGTATGATTGGCTGAAGAATACAAAATAGTTAGAATTTTTTATTTTTTTTAAAAGCTATGACATAGTGCTAAACATTTCTAATCCATTTCAATCTCCAGAACAATGCACCAGTAAGAATTGAAAGCCTTGAAAACAAGACAGTGGCAATTAAGGAGTTAATATTCTTCCTTAGCAAGAATGACTTCGTATGAAATTTTACAAGCCTGCTGGGAATATATGGGCCCATCCACAGTGCATAACTTGTAAATATATCTTAACCCTTTGCAGTCCTAGTCTGGACCTAGTCCGACAATCTCCATAGCGTTACAAATAAAATGGACTGGAAAGGGTTAAGAGAAAAAACTCAAATTGCAACTCCTTTAGCAATAAAAGTACATGACAGTCAGAGAGAATCTTCCAAAATAGAACCCTTTATCTGGGTGCTAATTATGAATGGAGTTGAACTGTGGGCTCCCACCTGATGAAATCTTCATCCACCAATGGAGTGTTCCAAAGGAGATGAAGTGGAAGGCAGGCCACCTCATATAAGAGATGCAATGCCCTGTCCTTGACTCTCGGCCAGAAATCCGGCTCCTCTGATGCTTTCACCTTGCCTCTGCCCCTTCCCTGATGAAAATAATGTCGTCATTTTCAACAGGAAAACATCAGTACTGTAGTATTGGAAATGATACTCACCTTCCCAATGTCATTTCTGATATTCCTTGCATCTTCAGCTTCATATTCGTAGATGTACTGGACCATGAGATAAATTAGCATTTTCAGCATATTCCTGTACTTGAGTTGTACATCACCGTCCAGAGGCTCTTCAGGGTCAAGAGCTTGATGGAGTTCACTGATCAACTCCTGCATCCCTGAAAATGGCAAGATAAGGATATAGAAAAGTGTAAGAAGGACCCAGAAACAAAATGGATATTATTAATGGATCCATTTTTTGCAAAAGGAATAAATCTCAGACACACCTATGCTGATGCAATTCCATGCATCTTCTTTAGTTTCTAGTGAGAGATGGGAGAAATTCTCCAATCCACCATAGAGAACATCAAAGTTTGCTTCAATGAAATCCGCACTTCTCTTTGCAGAGGAGAAGGCATCTGGAACAAAGAGATATACAAAAATTCAAAATTACAGAAAAAGAAGGGAACTTTTGAACTTCTATCTAGATCAGGTTCATATTTCTGATGCTTTTATTTAGGTCAGGACAGGCCTAGATACTAGATGTGTCTACAATAGACGTGATCCATTCATAATGGGCGTCTATGAGAATAAGATTATCTCTGTCAAATGGAATCCCATAGAGGACCATTGTGAGATCAGATTAATTTCAGTTAAACAAATCTGGTGCATGTCACCAATAAAATGTATACTATTGGAATGGAAACTGAAAAAGATATGAAGCTTCACATATCTACAGGTGCACAAGTCCAAAAATCATTTAAACCAGGTATGGATAGTCCTTACATCTTCAGGGTATTATACGTTATGCGCACACCCATTTATTTATTTACCATAAAAACAGTAAGAACTAATACTTTTAAGTCTTCATAAAAGTCTCCTACTGAGGAATCTTGTGGATATAAACTTAATAGCATCAATTAGTCCTAGGCCTACAGACTGCTTGGCGATTGGATTGCTTTGATCCTCTATTCCAAAGAGCAGAAGTAGGCCTACATAGGCTTACATACAGGATGGTTTGGATGGAATTAGGGTTGCCTAGATTACATATTGGCAACCTTAATTTCCTCCCACTATTAAATTCATTCTGTTCCTTGAATTAATGTTCATGCTGGCACATTATTTCTAGCCTGACTTTCTGACGCTATGGGTTAAAAGTTAAGCTCGCAGGTGGCAGCGAAGACAAACCTCGAATTTTGTACGGCAGCTCCTTGACATTGAAGAACTCCTCAACGACATAATGACCCGCGGAATCGGCACACTTGAGACCGTCCCTCGTCACTGGTATCACAAACTCCATCCTCCCCCGCCTCCCCCAGCACGAAACCCACGAAAACAGAAGCGACGAAGCACAACACCGAACACAAAACAGGCTGCCCTTCCCACCATGTTCCCGCGCTCGTGCCACCACCCTGACATCTGTCGGACGCCGCTCGCACCATCAGTCGTGATTTGCAGTTCATAGAGTGCAGTACGTCCAAAACCCAACTCCCGGATTCGGGAAGTGGGTCACTTGCTAGCCCATTCCTTCAGATTACTTTATAGGACACGTCGCATAAGGCTAAGCATAAGATGTGGAGAAATGAAGTTGCAGTTTTACAAGGAAAACTTTTATTTAATAATACTAACATGAACAAATAATGAGAATTAGCAACACACGAAAAAAATGAACATTTTCACTATCGCTCCTCATCCTTTATCTTGTCTCTTGCAGCGCCGGATCTGAACCGCATCCTCGCCTGGGATTGAGGCTTCCGTCCCCCTTCGGCATCGAATCTTCGGGCTTGAGGCCCATCATCCAGAACGGAACGCGACGACGAGGGACCATGACGGGCCTCGGATCCACCAGGCTTCGATTTCCCGGAAAGGTATTTCACGATCGCCTTCTTCGGCGGCCGTCCCTTGAAACTCCGTCTTTTCGAGTCATACGCCAGCTTCAGCTTCCCCTCCCTTCAGAGAGAAATTCCTCGCTATAATATCACTTTGAATTTTTTATTATTTAAAGATTCGGTATTCTCGTTCAGTTCAGAGAAAATAGCAGTCTGGAAATAATTTGGATGCGGAAATGTGGATTACGATTTCGAGAGCTTTCGCTTCGGCCATACCGATTTCAACTACAATGGACGAGACCATCGTGGCCCATATTCGCGGGAAATTCATCCGTGACGAATGAAAATCCGTGAAAATTGACACTTTGGGAAGCTTTTCATCGGCAAATATTGAGGTTTGCGGTACACGGGCCTTGCAAGACTGCAATTGAAATGGAAGGAGACAAAACAGGGCAGGAGCATTCAGTAGCGTAGGAACAGCAGGGGAGGGGGGGGGGGGGGGGGGGGGGGGGCGGGGGAATGGGGGGGGGGGGGGGGGGGGGGGGGGGGGGGGGGGGGGTTGAGGCCAGGTAAGACACCCCCCCAACCCTACGCCTAGCTCCACAACCCGGAATTACCTTTTCAAAGAAATCGATATCTGGCATCTTGGGTCTGTGGACGGACATCAGGCTTGCCTCGAAGAGGGACAGCTAGTATTGCAATTCCCAAGGATTCTATCATCCTCATCATATGCCTGTCAGAGTCGCTAACCCCCTAAACCCCCCCCCCCCCTCCCTCCCCCTCCCCTACGCCACTGGGAGCATCACAGGAAAAATATTTTGAATGTTTAATCGTTTCGCGACACGACGAAACTTACACGGATTCCCGAGCCCATCGAATTCACGAGCTTGCACCAACTCCCCATCCGTCTTCCCTCTGCTGAGTCTTCCCCCTCCCCCCCCCCCCCCCCCCCCCCTCCNGACGAAAACGCAAAAATCAACCGAAATCCCCTGAACTCAATCGAAATCAATCGAATTCAACTGAAATTCTCGTGCGACGAAGACACCGAGGGCCTCACAGGAAAGCGTTGAAGTTTGCCCTGATCGTGGTGTTCTGACTCGCCGCAGGAGGAAATTCGCCCAGCGACGAGAACAGAAGCAGCCAGCTGAAGAAATTCCCCTATAGCGGAAAATCGAAATTACATTATATATAATAAATCATACGTAATTCATTGCACACTACAGACACGTTACGCAACAACTCACTTTCATGACTCCAGATGTCGCCGATCAACACGAAATATAATTAAGTGACAGAATATTCCGAAATAAAAATGAAGGATCGAGGACAGAGGACAGAACAAACGCAAAGCAAGAAAGTGGAGAACTGAAGAACCATGGAATATCGGAAAAAGAGGAGAATCCATAAGCTGCCCCCCCCTGCCCCCTGCCCCCCCTGCCCCCCCTCCCTCCCCCTCCCTCTTCGCGTGAGTATATAATCGTGTAGAGGATGCCATTCCCTCGCATTCCGCCGCGGGGTTTACAGGAGAGGCGCTCGTACCGGGCTCATTAACCCTGTGGTCACGGAATCGTTCCTCTTTTTTTTTTTGCATCCGTTGTTCGACCAGCCCACCGCATTACGCACTCGTGATGGGCGAAATGAAAATCATCAGAGAGGTTTCAAACATTTTTTTCACTCATTGCAATGCAAATAATATAGAAATGCGAATGCCGAAGGGACTTTGGGAGCTCCAACAGGACACGCGAAGAAATATTCAGAAGTAATTTCCTGAGAAACGTTAATTGATGTAAATACGGATTCCGATCCCAGGTTCTTTGCGACCGTTCACCCAGAATCCAAACCATGCACATGCCCCCCCCCCCTCCCCCCCTCCCCCCCCAGTCGCGGAATCCCCGACAGCACGAGGCCAACGTCGAGTCGCTGCCGAGAAGCACGCACCATGCCGTGCGGGGCAGCGATGAATCGACCGAGACGAATCGGCGAGACAGAACGAGGTACCAATTTTCTCCTCCTTCCCCGAAAGGAACGATACCACTTCTGGTCCCCTCCGAAACATACATCAACCTCGTCGATGCAAAAACCGCCAGCGCCAAGACACAAGCCAATATAGTTTTTCGCGAAATTCCCGCCAGCCTCGAAGAGTCCACTCTCAGCCTGGGCCGTGACGTCAACGACCGGAGCTGCCAGTTCCCTTCCGGCCTCCGTCGCTGACGGATCCCCAATCGACGAACGACAGTGACGGCTGCTGGCCGAGCTTCGTGCGATGCCGCACGTCATCCTACGACCTCCAACCTCCATCTGCTTGCCGCGAAGGGTAGAGGCGCCGGTGAGCGAGCGACCCTGGGAATGAGACCGACTCATACCGGTTTAACCGAACCGGTGCAAGTAAATCTTGGTGTCATTTTGTCCTTTTTTTTATCTCTTGTCATTTAATCTCAGAACACGATCGGGTTCCATTCATCTCATTATCACCCATCGCGTCGGAAAGAACCACTCAGGTCCACATTTGAGCTCCATCGTCGATCCATTGCGAGCTGGAAATCAAAAGGTCGCCCGCTGAAATTTGTACTCAACGATATAAGCATACCAGTACGGTAATCCGAGTAATTCAGATTGTCTTCGATAAAGGCGCTTCCATGCCCAAATGCTGTAATTATGAGGAAATTTCTAAGTATATAATTATGTGTATATATGTGTAATTTTATACAATGAACTTCAATAAGAAGTTCATTGAATGTTCATGGAATTCATGGTTTTTGTCCGGCAGTCGTGGATTGAGCGTCAAAGAGCAAAGACTATTTTTTTCCTTCAGGGATGACCTTTCCTTGAAAGGTCATTCCCAGCCTTCAAAGGACAAGGTAAACGACTCCATCGAATCCCATGCAATTCGAAGCGGATCAGCCGAAACCATGGAAAATACTCCAAACGTTTTGCAAAATAGTGTAATTCTGGTTTAAAGCAAGACGAAGTCAATAATTAGATAGGATTATTTAGACGAGAAAAAATTCTATTTTCTATATTTTTAGGAATGTGATTAATTGAATGACTAAAAAAGCTTTTCAATTCCATATAAGAAATCCGCCTTAAAATATAGAACGGAATGTACCAGCTTTTACTCATGAGCTGCTTTCCATCTTATGAAAAAAAAAAACTGTGCTCTCATGCCAACGCCAGACGAAAGAGCCACGTGATTCGATTCGGGTCGGTCAACAAAAAAAAACTCGTTCCGATCAATCATTCACCTAGGACAGAGTACACGCTAATCCAGTCGCGAAGTGCTATGATTCCGATTCGTTGCCCTTACGTCAACAATCTGGTTTTTTTTTTCTTCCTTTAAGTCCGGTCCACGTTGAAATTCTTAATAAAAAAAATAAATTGAACAAAAGAAGCGCCAAAGCGACGTCAGTAAATTTTTTTACTTTTCAACAATGGATGCATAAATACGAACACATCCAAAACAAATCGGAAAATAGCAACAGACCAACAATAATCAAAAGAGCAAAAAAAGCCTTCAACGACGTTTACCCGCAGAGAAACCGTACACTTCTTTCTCCCTTTTAGGCAGCCGAGCGCCCGCTCCCGCCTTGACCGACCTCTCCCGCTTCCGTGCTGGCTTGCCGCCCCCACCCGACCGTCTCAGCGGATAGGGAGTGAGGTGGTTCGTGAAGGACCCCAGACCACCCGACGAGGAGGAAGGGTCAATGATGATAGGCTCTGGGGGTTGGTGGTGGTGCGGCTTCTTCACGTGCTGGTGCACGACAATATTGTTCACGGGTGGGCCTTTATCTCCCTTGAACTTTCGGTGCTTGTTGTCGAACGCCAGTTTGAACTTCCCGGCCCTACAGGAAAAAAGCCTTCTTTATGTCGGTCAGGGAGACCGGTTCTATGGATTTTAATTGTGTTAGTAATATTCCCATGATTCAATGTCTGGACAAGTAGTACTTTTACTCTTGTCCCTTGTAGACTGCTCCACTTTCTTTTTCTCTTTCTTCTCCCCCTCCCTCCCAAAACGCCGTGGGGAAATTTCGGATCGACTCACTTAATGGCGGTGAAGAGGCAGAGAAGGGGGACGAAAGGCATCACTGTACCTACGATGTTCGGTGGAATGATACCGGTCAGCGCTCTACATTCCAAACAAAACCCAGAAATAAAAATCACAGAAAATAGGGAGGAAACATTTTAAATGAAACGGATGAACAAATGAAATTAAATATTAGAGAGAGGGCAAGGGGAAGAATATTTTAAGCAATGCAGAAAAGACGCTTTCAGAACATCTTATAATGGGCCCCCTTTAGGAACGGATCACTTTCTTTAGGAAAGACCCTTTAACCCAACTCCTCTAGCTAACGAGAGTGGAGGGGGAAAGGGGGGAAGAGAGGAGGAATGGGAGATGGTAAAACAGTAATATGTGGAGTGTGGACTGGTTTGAGGAGGTAGCTTGTGAGAACTTTTTCCTAATTCTTTCACAACCAGTGTCTGCTG